TTTTTTTTTTTTTTTTTTTAATAATCTTCTTTTATAATTACATATATATAAATACAAACCCTCCTCGAGGGCTCAAAAAAAGAATTTAACTCAACTCGTATACATTCTTTCGTACGATAAATACGAGCGTGTAAGGATTTGAAATACTAAATTAGGTTAATATCGATAAACCATAAAATTTTGATAGTTTTTAGAAGGGTGTGGGAGACGATTAGTTCTATGTAACCTATTTAATGGCCTTTAGACGAGAGAAAGAGGCAATTATTTGTGCAGTATTCCTAATTCAACCATTTTATATCCTTAATTAATTAAGTATTTTAAGGCGTAATCACATATAATTTGACCTTAATTGTTTCTTTAATTGAACTGAATTGCATGAGCCACAGCCGCAACTGGTTTAGATAGTTTGCTGCATTTATGAAGACAATGACAAAGGGAGAGCTGACCTAATTAATTAACCCATCTCATCTGACTTCTTCAACATATTAAATAAAAACAGCAGCCAATATATAACCTAATAACGTCCCAACCAACCTGGCGTCAGTTGCCTTTCGGTCGCTTTCCAATTCTTCAAATATCAATTTCCATATTTAATTATAAATTTACAATTTTTTTTTAGTTTTATCGAGTAAATAGTTTGACACTAGATCCCTTCAAACTTGGAGAAGGTGGGACGCTAGGTCGGGAATTGGTGAACCAACTAGTTACTCCTTTCCTTTACAATCTTGCAACTTTGCCCCTCTAGTTTCAGTATCAAGCATCGTTTTTATTGTCTAGATTACACATTTGGAATACCCTTCCTTGTTTGTTGTCTAAATTACACCTTCGGAATACCCTTGAAGGGAATTTTTCGTTACTTTCCCTCAACCTTCACTTTACGTCACGCCAGTTCCCTTTCGTCATAAGGCGAGGAATTAAACCAAGGATTTTTTTTCAATAAAGATGTATTGTTCCAAGTTAGATAGCAAAAATACAAATGGTACCTAATCAAATGATAACATAAATCTTTGAAGGCAATCAAAAGGTTGGAGTTGAAGTGCAAGCCAAATTGGAAAGACCTTTCTCTCCAAATCAAATCAAGCTTGTTGGATTCCATTATTAATAATACCTCACATTTTACAAGAGATTGGAACTTATTTTATAATTTATTTTAATTTTATCATATGCTTTTTAAAGCCATTTTTGTAACAGTATTTGATAATGTCGAACCTAGATTAACTTTATTAGAGGGTCAATTTTGAAATACCGAAAGTGGTGGGGTCGGAAGTAATAGGAAACACCAAAAATGCCAAGTTGCAAGCTGAGTCAACGTACGACTCCACCTCCCAACCCACTTTCCCCACCTCATTAAAATTCCTTTTTATTTACACATCCACGTGGCAGCCTTTTCTTGCTTGACTTTTAAACTCCCTGACCGACACGTGGCAATCACGATCAACCCACTAGCACACCCCCCGTCCAGTGCTGTATTTAGTGGGGCGTGAAAATCCACCACGATTTTCACATCGAACAATTAAACCAAAATAATAATATTAATTAATTAAAACGATAAAAATGCATGGTTTATGCACTATCTCCCTTTAATATATACACACGTTGTATTTCTCCACTATCTAAAAACTTATACCAATAATTAAATTTTATTCTTGATTTTCTAGTAGTTTTTTTTAGACATAATTAACAAATTGCTCACTAATTATTTTAAATTAATTAATTAAAAAGTTAATATTATAGACCAAACGTGAGAATCGGTAAAAACTGAGAATAAAAAAGGTAAAATTTTATAATTATGTTAGGAATTACAAATCTTCACAATGATATAGTATCGTCTACTTTGAACGTAAGCTTCCATGTATTTACTATACCAATAGAGATATATTCATTACTCATAAATTCATGATCAACCCCTTAATTAGCATACGTGTAATTCATCTCCCAACAATTTTGAATATTGTACAGTTAAATGAATATAATATAAAAACTTAATATTATGAAACGGAAAATCAGATATAAATTAAATTTAATTTTTGTACGATATAAGAATCTAACCAAAAGAATACTCAAATCTAGGACGAAGGTATTTTTTTTTTCTCTTTTATTTTAAAAAAATATCTTGAAAGTTTAAAGTTTAAGCTAACGAGCATCTAGATGAGGTGACTCTAGACTCTAAGACTACTTTGATAGATTCAATCAACCAACCATTTATTCGAATTATAAATACTGATCTTCAACTATTTTATAAGTATTTCAACGTTTATAATTATGTTATTTAATTTGCGTGGAATATTTAAATTTGAACAACTTTAATTCCATAAAGATTCCTTTTTTATTCCTTTTTTTTATTTTTTATTACTAAAAATAAATAGGTTTATATCAACAATTTATTTATTTTTTAACATATTAAAAAATATAGAAACGATATTCCTTTGCCCCATATCTTAAAATCTGGACCGTTGATGATAATTGACTCGTATATTTACGCAATTAAAAAAAAATTAAATAAAAACCCCACTTTCCGTTAATAAATTTCAAAGCTACAGTTTGAGCTGAATGCTGCAGAATAAATAAATTAAAATAACCTACCAGTGTAATACGGTGTCGTTTCTTTGTAGATGTTCTAAAGAGAACCGGGACCACTTCGACGGTATAAATACAAGCCAAATTTCTCGCTTTTGAACCTCCATTCCATATTTTCATCTCAGTAATCCCTAAATCGAGAGTTTTCGTTTACCTTTCCGTTTCCGATTACTTCCAGTATGAGTCAAGCCACACCGGAACACGGCGGCTCCACCTCCATGTCCGACGGTGGCTCCGTCCTGGCGTCTCCGAGGCGAGCGGCGGCGACCTTGCTGGTCTCTTTATCGACTCTGGTAGCGCTCTGTGCGAAGCATGCGAACAGAGCATCAAAAAAGCTTCAAACGAAACTGAAATCGAAGCAATTGCCGCGATTGGAGTTGCTATCATCGCAGGTTTGCCCGAAACGGCTTCTGAAGAGCATAAGCAACACGGCGATCACGCTGATCCATAAGAAGAAGAAAAACAAGCAAGGAGGCGGCGATGCGGGAGAGGAGTGGGGAGACGGCGGAGTCTGGCAGAAGGCGATCATGATGGGGGATAAGTGTGAACCGTTGAATTTCTCGGGCGTAATTTATTACGATAGTAACGGGAAACAGCTGAACGAAGTGCCTTTACGATCGCCACGTGCCAGTCCGTTGCCTGCCTTCCTCGCAACCAGTCCCCGCCAGGTCTACTGAGTTTCACAGAGAGGTCCAGAATCTTAACGTCACGCGGGGGTGATTTCAGGTAGGTCACCTAAGCATGTGATTGGATGAGAATTGGGATGTGGCTTCGTTTTTATTTTGGCCGTGTTTTTGCAAATTTCTCGTTTGTATAGTAATAGAGTGAAAATAATTTTGTTGGGTGTCTGTTAAACATAATATAATATACAGAAGTTTGTTTTTAAAAATAAGGTAACATTTTTTCCCTTGAAATTTTACTGTCAGTAAAAAATTATTAACTGAGTAGATTTAAGAAGTTTATTTTTATTTAATTATAAATTGAATTCTCTTGAATTATATATTTGAATATAAAGAATTGATTTTTTCAAAACATTGGGTAACCTAGCCATTTGTATAAACATTTAAAAAAATCCAAGGTCCATCCACTTGGAATATGAGGTCAACTCATAATAATTCCAAGCCGACTTTTTTCAGTAACCAATTTATTTCAAATACTTGCATCAATCATTTAATGATATTATTAAAAAGTTGAATATGTTTAAATTTATAATTCTTTTAGAAAATTATATTTCAATTCGCAATGAATATTAATTTAAACTCATTATTGGAGTTAAATTCTAACTATATATAACTTAATCATATATATAAATCAGATAAAATGGATTACAAATTTAGTGTAGTTTTCAATGTATTACGGGTGTGTGGTGAGCAGGGCTTATGATATTAACAACGACAACCTGAAAACCTCCATGAAAAAAGAAAAGAAAAAAAAAACTCCATTATTGGGGATGTCTAAGAAGGTGTGTAAAGCGAGAGAGAAGATAAATAAAGAGAGAGGGCCGATGTCACAAGGTCCACCTTGTTCTTGATTTCTTGGATCTCCAAATAATGGCAGAAGGGTCGGGGCAGATTCTGTATGGAATTTTCTGCGGAGGAATTTCAGGAGCTCTGCAAAATTTGTTTTAAATTTCAGATGAATCAAGAATATATATGGTGTTTAATTCAATTGACTTTGTGTTAGCTCTTACTGTAATTTGGCAATCTCGATCTGGGAAAAGTCCATGTTTGTTGAACTGCCCGTGTCCACTGCTGCTGCTGCTGCTGCTATAACCTCCACGTTTTTGGTTTTCTGTGGTTCTTCTGTTGAGCTCTTGATTGCCAGAACTTTACACTTGAAGTTCCTTGCTATATCATCTTCCTCCACAGCCATCCTATGTCAACAAACCAATGCCTATTAATATGAAGAAAAGGAAACAAACAATCTCATCCACGCCAATGCGTTTAATAGGTCATCTCGATGAAAATAAAACATTCTTTACAAGAGTGTAGAAACGTCTCCCTATTGAGATGACATTGTAAGATCCCAAAACATAAACATTCCTTACAAGAGTGTGGAAACGTCTCCCTGTTAGACAAAACATACATTACAAGAATGTGGAAACGTCTCCCTATTAGACGTGTTCTAAAACTATGAGGCTGACGTAACAAAGCAAAGATGGCCAAAGCAGACAATATCTGCAAGCGGTGGTGGGTTTAAACTGTTACAAATGGAATTAGAGCTAAGTACCAGGTGGTGTGCCAGCGAGTATGCTAGCCCCAATGGGGTGGATTGTAAGATCCCACCTTGGTAAATGGTATCGAGCTAGGTATCGGGCAGTGTGTCGACGAGGATGCTAGCCTCAATAAGGTGGATTGTAAGATCCCAACTTGGTTGTTGGAGAGGAGAACAAAGCAAAGATATAGAAAACTCTCCCAATTGACTCTGTTTAAACCGATAATATCTACTAGCTATGTGGCCAAAATAAACCCGATTTCCAAGAGTGTATGCTCATGGCTAACATGTTTTTTTTGTGGATGCAAATGAAGGGTGAGTTTGATTAAATGGGTCCCATCCATTAGTTCAAAAAAGTATTGGCACTTTTTTGGTTTTTGGGGCTCATAATAAAATTTGTCAGGTAGGAGCCGTTTTTGTGATGAATACCAAACCAAAAGAAGCCACCAAAAGTTGTGATAATTAAGTCTTCTCTTCAATAAATGGAAAAATCCACTCCTCCGCCATTAATGAAACCACAAAATCATCCCAACAAGTAATAAACACAGAGATCAAAAATCTAAACCCACCCAGCTACTCTCTTTACCTAACATAATTGACCATTTCTTCAGCCATTCCCCAGAAACTTTGACTACTCAATCCTCTGTTTTGATTCAACTTTTACAACATCAACAACAGAAGCTCCCTCTGGTTTCATCATCCATTCAGTACAAGAAATAGCAAACAGACAGGACGGGACCCGTGCCATTAATGGCCGATCAGGATCATAATTAATAAAGATTCCCCAAGTCCCAAGAACACGGTGAATTTAATGCTTAATTAGACAGTGTAATAATGGATTAATTCTGAAAACTTACTTGTACAGAAAGCTGCGATCATGGAGGCCAACCACAAGCACAGAAGCTCCAATCTCTCTAACAACGGCCGCGATCTTTCTACCTTCTTCGTCGCCGCCGCCTTCCGTCACAATAATCTCTACCTTTGTCTGTAACATAACCCTATAAAATGGTTATCGTTACCCAAATCATCAGTATAACAAAAGCGATCAAGAAACAATGAGGAGACGATTAAATCTGGAATCGGAAAACTTACATTGGGGAAAGTGGTACAGAGGTCTTTGAATGATAGGGCTAATTGATAGCCGTTCAATCGGAGATGACGAAGTTTGGAGGCGCTTTTGGATCTTGTAGTCGGAAATACATGGAGAAGAGTAATCAAATCGCCGTAGCGCATTAGGTTATTGAGCGTCCACTTCAATGCCGTTCTAGCTGCTTCAACATCCTCAACAATCACCACGATTTTCCTCAAATCCATCGCTCTTTTCGCGTTTTGATGAGTTCAAATTTGAGAAACGAAACGAGCGATTCGTATATTATGAAGCCCTATCTCTGTAAATCAAATCTCGCCATGGCTGAATTGACAGAGAGAGAGAGAGAGGAGGCAATTAATTGAGAGACCCGAAAGGAAATAGATGGGAAAATTCTGTAGCGTTTGGACTGGGATTTTGCTGTCGCTAAATGGAGGTTGATCTTTCAACTTTTGACATTTTTTGGAGGTTTAAAATATGAAGTTTTGCTGTCTGCTCTGCTGCGCTTCGTGGGCCTCTGTCGCTCTGTAAGGATAATACTCTGTTTTTCTTCGCTTCAGTTTTAATGGCGGAATTATTTGATCAAATCTCTCGCGCGTCTGCCATTGAAGACCCTCTCAAAGCTCTGACTTTATCTGGAAACGAGATTGGGAGAGTGACAAGCTTTAATCTCCTAAGAAAATTTTTGTAATCTTTTATTTTTCTTCTACGATTTTGTGTTCGTTATGTTGATGACGAAAGTCTCATCGAAAATGATCATAAGTTTATAATCAATGAATACTCTGAGACCTTTTGAGAAACCCAGAACAGCTTAGGTTTAAAGTAGACAATATCACTCTCTCCATTACTACAAGGGCGAGCTTATGTTCACAGTGGATAATATCACTCTCTCCATTACTATTACAAATTTCGTAGATTTATAGGAGGATGATCTGCCACGTGTACGGACAAAATAATTCGGAATAAATAATTCCATCATACTGCCACATCCTTATTATATAAATGAAATAATGTTTAAAAAATTGGAGAGCATGGGTCGTGCAGTCACGTAGTTTGTTCGCTTTTGTTTGTTCTTCATATTATTGTCATGAAGTTTAAACCCAAAATATATGAATATTTTGCTTCAAAAAATAAACTAAAACGCACTTTTTGCATTTTTTTTTTATATATTTATTTAATTTGTACGATAAAATATAATTTATATCAAATTATGATAAAAGAAAAAGAAAAAAAAAATAGTATTTGGTGTAAAGATAGACAATGCTTTATCTACCAAATTCATTAATAATTTTTAAATATAAATGTTACATCATCATCTAATTTTTTAATTTATGGAATATTAGTGACCAAATATTCAACATTTATGCCTAAAACAACATTAATTTTTGTGAAATATATTTTTAATTATAGTTAGATTACGGGTTTAGTATTATAACTCTTCAAACAATGGTTATTGGGTATTGACGTTTTTTATTTTGTGTTTAATAAATCTCTTAACTTTAAAAATTTAGTTTACATTTTTTAATTATAAATTTATTTTTTGAATCTTCATATTCATAAATTAAACATAAATTTTAAACTTTATTTAAGGCCCAATTTAATACAAAAATAAAATTTTAAAGAGATATTAAATATTTTGAAAATTGAAATAAAATTTGAAGATGGTCCGAAGCTCAACCCGTATCACTGTCCAAACTCGGAGTCGGGTCTACTTTCTGAAGGGTTTTTAGGGTTTAAGCCATTTCGCTGAATTTCTGCATTTTTCTTTGGATTGTCAACTGTGAAGACGATGACCTCCATGGCTGTTCTGTCGAGAAGGCTCTTTCGTTCTCTGCTGTCGAATTCTAAAGCTTCTCATCACCACGACATCCTACCCGTGATCTGTAGCTCGAAGAACCTTTCCTTCCGCTCGATCTCAGACATCGGGGAGTCCAGTATTGGCTCGGACATGAACTTGGACTCACATTCAGTATCTAATCGACCTTCTCTCTCGCCGTCCTCGTCCCAGACGAGAACCATCTATAATCGACCTCTGGAAAATGGCCTCGATGCTGGCATTTATAAGGTACGTTGATATACGACTGCTTTGGGACTTTCGGTTCTTGATATTTGATTGCTTACAGTTTAATCTTAATGGCATTTCGTGTTTTCGTGAAGGCTATATTGGTGGGGCAGGTGGGGCAAAGTCCATTGCAGAAGCAGCTGAAAAGTGGGAGAACGGTGACGCTGTTATCAGTTGGTACGGGCGGTATTCGTAATAATCGGAGACCCTTGGCTAATGAGGAACCCAGAGAGTATGCGAATCGGTGCGCAGTTCAGTGGCATCGGGTTTCGATTTATCCTCAGAGACTGGGCGATGTTGTCATGAAGCATGTTGTGCCCGGGTAAGCATGTTCTGCCATCAATTGCTGTGACCATCTTAATCAAAGTATTGACAGTGTCCAATGGAAATTGAATATTTTGTTTTCTGATTTTTGTACCCCTTGTTGCTCACAAAAAATAATATTAGGAGTCTTTGTTTCCCCATTTCTTTGTTGCAGCTTCATCTTTACCGTGTAAATTTATCTTTTTCCAGTTCAATTTTGTATTTGGAGGGGAATTTAGAGACCAAAATCTTCACTGATTCAACCACTGGTCTTGTTCGACGCATTAGAGAAGTTGCCATTCGCCGCAGTGGTACAGCACTTACTCTTTTCTACTCACCCTGTTTTTATGAATGTAAAGTTCCTCATTATATGTATTCTGGCTCTTTCCGATGCAAATGCCATTTCTTGGACGTGATACATTTTTTAAACTGAAAGAGCAAACTTATTCTTCTTGCGTAGGCTGAAAAACCTATATGGATTCCAACTGGTGTTTGAATTAGAACTTTGGGTCCCTGATTTTCCGTTTTCCCTTTTCTTGTTTCGTTTTTTTTTTTTTTTTTTTTGATTGCCTGATCCTCTGTGAACCAGAAGGTTTACAAAGAATTTGACGGCTTTTGTGCGACTTGGCATTCATGTATGTTGAAATTAATGGCGCAAGGTCACACATGATCTCCGTTGATAAAAGTTTGGTTGTGATGTAGGCCGCCTGGTATTTTTGGGCAAGGGAGAAGGCGATGTTCAGCAGTCCACTCAATCAGAATTCAAAGGTGTTGGCTATTACTAAGAGATGTTGCTTGCAGTGTTGTCATATGAAGGTCTGAATGACCCACTTTTCTCTCTAAATGCTGTGATCATTTCGCTTTAGATTAGTTGCAACAAGGCAATTACACGGCCTTGTGATGATTCCCTTTCCCCCACCCCTTTGTCAAGTGATGAATGTTTTTGGTAGCTATATGATTGAGAGAGAAAGGAAATCCAAAGTTGACTTGGCTTTCTCTATGCAACTTATTGGTTTTCAATTGTGCAAACGACACCCTGTTTCTTTTGTGATGTTTTCTGTATAGTTGCAGTGGTCATGGGCATAATTTGGGTTAGACAGAGGGAATGCTGGCTTTTTGTGAAACGATATCAATGTTTTCAAAGCGCAAGACAAACTCTGAAGGGTTGCTAGAGGCACATGCATAAGTAATGGAGGCACACAATGTATGAGTGAGTAGGTTGATTGACAATTGAAATACAAATACGTGATAACTTATGCCATAATTGGGAATGATTGAGTACTGTTCATTGATGCCATGTATTTTCAATAATAGACATTAAATGCCAATGGAATTTTCCAGTCAAAAGATACTATGAAGATGCCCGAAGATTGTCTTCGGTCCTAATGGTGCAGGAAGGGACAAAAAGAGGATATATATAATACACACACACTTTAAAAAAAAAAAAAAAAAAAAAAAA